TTCCCTTAACCTGTATCTCTTTCAACATTTTTCGCACATAAATCTTTTAACAAAAAAAAAAAAAAAAAAAAAAATAAAAAAAAAACTCAAACACATCGTGGGTGATCTTTCCTTTTATTCGTGGCAACACAAAAGCGCATTCATGATTGATTATCTTCCTATAATTCATTAATTTGACACCCACGCTCACTCGAAGAAATATATATCTAACCGAAAATAGATGAGTTTCGGGTGAATATTTTAATAATCAATAAATTATTTCAATCATTTTGCGCGAAGAATAATACAACAAAAAAATCTCTCAGCGATAGAAATGGGTATACCCAGAAGAAAGAGAGGGGGCACGAGTTGCATGATGATGCGCCCGCATAAAGTGGCAACACAGAGAGAGACAGAATGATTTCTGCTGAGTCAAGATAACGCACACAGGGAAAGAGACAGGCATAGAGAGGGATTGGCAATAGTCCCCGGGAAGTTTATCTTGTCCAGGCAATCGCGTTCGATTATTAACCCTCATAAATAAAGGCCTCGCACTGATGGCGACACAGTAGCTGCCTTTGCTTAACCCCCGCGGCCATCCTTAACCCCTCGCCAAGAGCCTTAACCCTCAGACTTGCGGCCCAGACTCCTCATTTTCATTAGCATGTGCGTGTGCACCTCAGCCTGTCGTTATGTGTCTTACACTTGAAGAAAGCAGATGATTTTTAAGATAATATCATATTTATTTTACAAGGAAACAATTTGGAGTAATAAGAGTTTTACATATTTGAAATCTACAGAAAATGTTTCTTAAAGTATAAAATTAAATTCTTTTAATAATAATTAACTTTTAAATATTTTTAAAACAATTTAAGAATTGTTATTGATTGTTCTAAGATTTCTAAACATTTAAAAAGACGTCAAAAAGTATGCAACATAATATTTAAGGATCATTTACCCCTAAGAAATTTCGTGTAATATACATTTTCATCTTAATTTAGTTGATTTGAAGTCCCTACAGATTTATTTTAAATAAATAGAATATTTATTTTATTCTCCTTCAGAACCCAGTTTTCTTGAAGTGCACTTTTTGCTCTTCTAATAAATGTTTTTCAATTTTCATTGTGGTTAGTATTTTTTTTTTTTTTTTATTCGTTGCTCATCATGCAAGTCCATTGTTGTTGGCAGCGGCTTTTCGTTGAAAAATAAAGGAAAAAGAGCGTCGGAAAAAGGAGGAAAAATGCTTTATCATCCACTGGCTGATGATGGCGGGGGTTCCCTGAGGTTCCCTCGGCTTTGTTGGCTTATTGAGCCATAACTGCAACTTTGTTTGTTCTTTCGCTCGTTACAATATCTTATTTTTTCTGTGGTTTTCCACATTTTCCTTGAACATTTTTATTTTTTGCTGATTAATCATGCTTTTTTTTTACTTTTATGGGGTTATCTTGGTGGTGAAAGTGGCTTGAGCTTCAATTTTTCTTATATTTTGATAACTGAATTAGGGTTTTTTGTTGTGAGAAAATTAATTGAAAGTAATTTGAAGTGGTGAACTTGATTAAATGTTTGTTCAGTGAGCTTACAAATTTTTTTTTTAGTTTTTATTAGCTTGACTTTAATTTTAAACAAACCAATTACTCTAAGAGAACTTCCCCTTACCTGCATATTTTCCTACTATTTTTCCCCTTCGATGTTTTATCAATATAAGACAAATCATCATCATCTGTCTAACCTTTTTTCCGATCATATCCCTCCTTTTAACCCCAAAAAAAGCGACCAAAGCCAATTGGCAAGTCATCATTTTTCACGGCCTGCCAAAGGCGCCCGCTTATCCTGTCAGAAAATGTTTTTTATTCCTTCAAAAAAGGAGAAGAGAGGCACCCAAAAGGTGACCAAGCTAATGCCATGTCCTACCATTATAATTTCCCACATTTTATTTTTTGTGCCTTCTCACCGAAACGGAAACCAGAAATGTTATAAATCATTCGCCGGGGCATATTTTTAATAGAGTTGCTACTTTGAGTTCGTTTTTTTCGGTTGATTTTGTTGTGGGTCTTAATTAAAATGCCAGTTGGCTAGTTGGCGAATCTGAAAAGGGTAACAACATCGCCTTTGTAATCTTTTAATTAGCAAACATAAATATTTTCCCCTACTAAACTCGTTATCTTGTTTCCCTTTTTTTGCAGGTGAGTGAACTTTCCGAGGGATAACAAGCCAGTAAAATGTGATTCGAGTAAGAAAACTTTATAAAGCCAAGCGTTCAAAAATGAAGGAAAATTCGTTCATTGAGCAGAGTCAAATCAACTGAAAATCTTTTCACACCCAAAGATACAATAGAAGGGAGGGGGGATGATACTGAATAGCGGGATAGGGATTTCCTTTTTCCTTTCACTTTCTCCGCCGGGCAAACAAAGCGGTTTTCTGGGTGTGTGTTTTGAGTGACAAAACCGCAACAGACATTGACTTTTCACTGGTTTTCCTCCTGTGAAAACTTTAAAGAACCAAAGAGCCAAGAACATTGTCATCATCATCATCATCAGCAGGCATCAGGCAGCCCAACATTTCCTTCCGCTTGTTAGAGGCTTTCTTTTTTTTTTTTTGGATTTTGGGGGTGGGAGGTTGAAGTTTCTTTCTTTTCTTTCTCTTTTTTTTTTTTTGCAAGCGTCACATTTGACGCCCCAGAAGAGGGGGGGATTAAGGGAGAAAGGGTGGCTTTTTCGAGGGTCTACTGTAACCGCCGCTTGGCATATGGTTTAGTTGGTTTTGGCTTCTAGAAGCTCCATGTGATTGATGGTTCTTCCCCTTTTTTCCTTTGGCCATCTGCACCTGTTGTCACTACCCGTAAACTGGAAAAGTTGCTGACTTTTCAGCCCAAGTCTCAGCCAAGGAGAGTTGCAGCAGATATGCTGGGAGGTCTATGAAAATGGAATAGCCCTAAGGGGAAAATATCCCTTGCCATGTTTATTATTGCCTTTTCCTGTTGGGATTATTTTCTTGAGGGAAAAAGAGACCCTTAGGAAATGGGGATTAGAAGTCCAATCAGAGTTTTATATATTTTTTTGGGGTATTAAGAATGATAGCCTTTATAAGGATTTTTGAAATGAAAGTATTACTTATTTGCCAGGACTAAAACTACTAATGAAATATAGTAAATAATTGGAAGAAACTCTTGATATAATATTTAAGATTTATGTTGTTCTTTTTAACAAGAAATCAAGGACATATAAGGCTACTTTATATATTTTATAATCCTTAACCTAACAGAACCAAGGTACTTTCTATTACTCAGCTCTACTTTCTCTCACCTCACATCAAATTTTCCTTTTAAAAGGAGGGCACTACTCTTTCCTACGCTGACATGGAAAACATCTCTAAACCTCTAAGCAAGTTGCGTCTCGACTCCCAGCTTCCGGGACTTGTACGTCAATGTCAAACTTTGACAGATGCCGGCTGGCAAAGGAAAGGAGCAAAAGGAGCCAAAGGAGGCGAGAAAAAAAACCAAAGCATGGATTTACTTTTATTTTATTACTGTCATTGTTGCTCACTCGCTCGGTAGCTGCCAGTGGGTGTGATGGGTGGGTGGGATGGTGCTCCATGGCCGTTATGTGGCTTTTGCGTAAGAATACGGGGTCCCGTTCATGGTCGTCGTTATCCCTTTGGCTCCTTTATCATCCATCTGTGTTCGCCGTACTCCGTTCTCTCTCAGCTTTCTCTCTTCTGCCTTTGTTATCTGCTGTTTAGTCAGGCGAGCGACGGCGTCGGGGAAAATGGGTGAAAGTCTTTCGTCCTGCTGGCAGCTCTTTTTGGCAAGTCGTAAATTAAAAATGGCTTAATATGTAAATCCTGGCAGCTGCCTTCTGTCCAAGAGAGAGGTCGTCATCGTCGTCGTCATAGTCTCCCTCTCTGACTGGGATTAGTTTTGTGGATATTTCGGCTTACGCCTGTCCCTGTCTTCGCATCTGTATCTTTGCATCTCGACTTTTTCTTCGGACATGCTGCTGCTGCATTGTGGGGTTAATGCTGCTTCCACCCCCTCACACACACACACATGTGTCTTTTGTTTTCCTTGGCTGTTGCGACACTGATATGCTTGTGTTGTCATTAGTCAACAACAACCAAAGTCTGTGCATCTCCTTGTGGAGCCTTGGTGTCCTTGCCGTGTTTTGAAGATCTGTCTGAGTCATCATCAGGAGGAGGAAATTCAATTTAGTCTTGAAAAGAAAGGATTAGTTTAATTTTATGCAATGAAATGGGGAATTTTGGGGTTTATTTTTATTTTATAGAAATATTTTTAAATTTATGTCCCTCGTATTTCCTACTAGTTTTTCTCGTATTAAATTAATCAAGTTTCAAGGTCCGTAACCTTATCTATGTGTCACATAATCCCCGCCCCTTGGCTGCCCTTTCATTACCCTATAAATTTGCATTAATGGCCACTCGGCATCATTCCAATTTACCGAAATGGATTGCCATTAATTTATTCCCATTGCAAATTGCAGTGTCATTTAATTTCACTTCTTTTTCTCTTTCATAGAGATATATACTATATGTATTTCTTTTTTTTTTTTTGCCCCCCGCCAATTTGCATTAACATCTATGTATGTGCTGTTGTGTGCGTTTGCGTGTCGTAATGCATTTTAGTAATTATTTTAGCTGCTTTTCACTTTTGTTGAGGGCCCAGTGACAGTCATTAACATTTGTACAAATTTTCTTTGCCAACTTGGCCATAATTTAATTGCCTTTATGACTTTACTAGATGGAAATTAATGATTGTAATTTATCAAATTAATATATATTACTTTTTGCGGTACGAAAAAGCAAAGGCTTTTTATTCTAGATTGCCATTGTTGATGAGATTGCAGTGCGGTTTTTTTCCGATTAATTGTTTGGTAATTGTGCCAGTTAATTATATAATGGCAATGCCACTATTTACACGACTTAATTTGGTTGCTTAATGAATTAATTATTAATTATGCATTGCTTTTTTGATAGAGAAGTTTTAAAAGAGTTTTTTCGTAACAAAACAGAAACATAAAATATACTTTTATTTAAAAAATTAAGCTGTCCTGAACCCTTTTGAAGTCCTGCAAGAGCCCCGCCTCAGAACTTGAAAAGTGCAGAGCAAATCCTTGTCGACTTTCATCATGGCCCCTGAATTTTCAAACTCCCCGCAATAGTTGGGCGCCGAGAAGATGGTTATTAGGCCTCTCTTCGAGAAGAACTCGTAGCCATCCTCGACGCACTGATGGCCCCGACAGATGAGGCTAAACCCGAAGCGGTGCAGGAAGCCACTGACCACGTCCGAGCCGAAGGTGTAGCTCACGCCCCGCGCGTTGGGCCCCCAGCCGATCGTCCGCTTGTCGGGATCGGCCCAGAGGATGTCGCACACCAAACCGGACTCGGGTATCTCCAGGGGTCGCTCGATCTTCCGGATCTGGTCGAGGCTAAACAGAGTGGGGCTCAGGCCGCCGTGGCAACAGAAGATATTGTTCTCGATGATCGCCGCCAGAGGCAGGCAGTTGTAGCAGTCGACAAAGGTGCGCCACAGCTTGATCGTAAAGCGCCGCTTGCACTCGTCGTAGAAGCCATAGAAGTGATTCAGGCTGGAGCATTCGTGATTGCCGCGCAGCAAAAAGATATTATTCGGATGCCTGGCCTTCAGGGCCAACAGGAGAGTCAGGGTCTTAATGGAGTGCTTGCCCCGGTCCACGTAGTCTCCCAGGAGCAAGTAGTTGGTATCTGGCGGATAGCCATTCAGCTTGAAGTAACACAGCAGATCCTCGTACTGTCCGTGGATGTCGCCCAGCAGGTTGATGGGGGGCAGGATTTCCAGGAGCGTCGGCTGACTCAGAAGCACCACCCGCGCCTGGGCACACACATTTTCGATGTCCCGAACGGACACCGACGAGCAGTTGTCCAGGGACGGTAATGCTTTCAGTCTGCCAATAACCTGGTCCAGATTCAAACGCTCCTGGCGGTCGACGGGTGACTTGGCAGTCTGCTTTGGAATTTCGTGGAGTTTTTGCTTGGACATTTTTGGACACAAAAAGCAATAGTGTGGAGATGGTATTAGGTTCTTTAAGTATATCGTTTTCATGTCAGATTGGAAGTGATTTCTAGGGCAGCGTTACAATATTTTAAATATTTGTTGTTGGATTGTATTTTAAGTATTTAAATTTAGCAATAATCAGCTCTACCATTTTATGATATTTTAGAAGGCTAAAATGCCTTTCTTTTTGTTGGATATCTTTAATTCTTAGCTTTTAGCAAGCTCCTTGGCCAATCTCTCTACAAAAAGTGTCGCCAAGCACATACATAACTGTCTTTCAATCAACTAAATTTCAAAACACCAGCCATCAGTCCACGTCCACTAAGCGTCCCGTTCCCCCCGAACCCTAGGAAATCCCCCCTAGAAACACCCCGTGTCTCTTGGCGTGTCCGCCCTTCATCTTTGTGTGAGCCATCGCATCCGTTGCTTTTATTTTTCAAATCAACATAATGGACACTTTGCCCGACGGCAGCATCACGCCCCCACACCCCCTTATCACACCCCCTCCAGCCATGTCCATGCATACATATATAAAAAAAAAACAACAACAAAAATTACAAAAGGCAACTTCAGTTTTTGGGCTTTGACAGCTGACACAGAATGCAGAAAGCGAGCGACGCATTTTCTAGTGGGTGGGCCTTGGCTTGGTCCCCATTCCTCCCCCCCCACTCCGCTACTGTCCTCGCCCTCCAGGGGTGGATCAAGGCCTCCTCTACCATTACCTCCCCTTTTTGGCCAGTCAGTTCTTAAGCCGAAACCTACCGCAGATGCAAATTTCTACGCTTTGTCCTTTTCTATTAATGCACTGGAAATATTTCCTAGCAGGTGTTTTAGCAGGTCCTTCATTAGTTCTCAATTAAAACATTTAAGCTGAAAAGTTGGAAATTCTAAAGTTAAATGAGAATATGATGAAAACAACCTTAGACTTTAAAGTATAGCAATAATGATCATAAATGCCCTTTAAAAATTCCCAAAATATGTTAACATTAAAAGAAAATTATTTATTCTTTGCCCCCAAATTTCTCTCAGTGCTTGTCTGTCTCTCTGTCACTCATTAAACATTTTGCTAACTGCAACAGCCGAGTGTTGTTGCCGCTGTTTGGGCTGGTTGTCATGGCAAGTGTCACAACAGTCGCCTGCATTTTGTTGATTTTACGAGCATGTGACAGGCTGAGATTCTGCGAATGCATCAACCCTGAACCGGAGGAAAGGAAATTGTAGGAGGGAGTCGGACGGAAGCGGGCAAAACAAATGTAAGTCGTGTGATTAGTAACGGATTCCGCAAAAGGGGATCCCCGAGCACTCAGACCTGGACCCACTCTCTGGGCCTTTGAACCGCGCCCCTGATCCATCAGCTTGACAAGAACATATCTGCCCACATATGAGTATTTTCAACCCACTCCCAAGTATTTCCCACTTCAAATTCTTTGATGAAGTCTGTCTGCTTTTTTTGTTTTGCCCGTTTGCCTTGACACAGACCCTCAGACTGCTCGGCACTTTTTGCTTGCCATTTTCATTTATTTTGCCCATTGTAGGCCAGCCCGCAACTTTGATTTCTTCTGGAGTAGCAGTCAGGCTCTTCGTGAATTCATTTTAATTAAATTCTTGGAGGCAATTTTCAAGGGAAGGGAGAACAGTATTTCTAAATTAAATAAATTGAAGAAGATACAAAATATTTTTAAAATTATTAAACAGCTACAATACGTATGGGAAATTAATATAGTATAAATAATTGTCTCTCTTGTGGTCTTTTCCATCCTCAAAAGAAAAGAGTAATTCACTCATTACACTTTTATTTGTTATTTGCACTTTTCCCCTACATTACCACTTCTTCTTCTGGTATTGTGCAAGTAAATAAAGAAAAGATTTCACACGAATTATTATCTCTGCACTTTGCATTCAGAGAAAGAGGGAGGGGTTGGAGATTTGAGGCTATTTTTGGATGAGCCGCTTCTGTTTCATAGAGCAAACACAGCTGGAACCTTTTATAATACCCTGGAAGGGTATAATCATTTTAGTCAGCAGTTTGTAAGGGAGTCATTTTTGCCCCTAAAAATCATATATATTCTTGATCTCCGAATTTAAATTAGTGTATTTTTGGCTTAGTTACGATCGATTTCCTTCCTATTCGATGTCATTTTCCTAGGGTATCCAAACTTCAGTGGTTTTTTTTGTTTTTATTTGTTTATTTTTGTTTGGTTCCCAGCTGAGTTTTTGCTTTGCTTATCTAAATGCACTTCTCCCCTATATATTTATCTTCTTACTCTTGCACACAGTCGGGTGTTCCCTTTAGGCCTGCTGTTCTTATCTCTGTATCTGTTGTTATTGCTTTTTGAATGCCCGCACACATTGGTGCACTGGGAAAAATAATCTTGCAACAAGTATTTATTGAAAATCCTAAAACATAAATCAATGTAAAATAAAGTTTAAACTAACTATTAAAATATATAAACATCGAAATACATTTAAAATATATATAAGAAATATAATAAATAAAAGTAGTATTTTACTATTTTTTCTATATTTTCACTAGCAATTATTAAATCTTATTAATAAAATCATTACATTATTTTACATTTTTATACCACTATCCCATTAATTTCTCTCTCTGCTTTAGCAGTAGCATTCGCTCTCTCTCTCCCCCACTCCTTTTGTTTGTCGTTGTAGTTGTTAATTGCTTGCCGCTACTTTCTTGCACTCCATCACTCTCCCGCTCTCTCTCTCTCCAGACTCCCTTTCTCCCCCGCCCCCCGGTTAATCACAGCACACATCAATGCGGTAGTTGTTGTTGGCTTTCCTTAATGGGTTTTTATTTGTTTATGCATGTATGAGTACGAAGATGAGGGATGCCCCCTGCTGACCGCTCTGCTTCTTGTCCCAGACATTCTATATCTTCTGGATAAATATGTATCTCCTTCTAGCGGCTCATCTTTTGCTATATCCCCGCCTTTTTTTTTTAAGACTCCTGGGAATTTTTACAAATGTTTTCAATGACAAGTGCTCTTAGCCAAAGAGGAGGAGGTGGGTGGGGTTTCTGTGGGTGGCTAGAATTTCGAAATTGTTTATACTTAAAGAGGCGTGGCGGCGGAATTTTGTCTGCTCATTTTTTGGCCTCCTGTCATTTAAGTTATTAATTATTTGTTTGTTTGGCTTTTTGAAGTTTTTTAGACTTTTTTTAGGAAAGGGAAAACTGTGGAGGGAGAAAATGGGACTATGATTAATTAATTTTTGAGGGGTGTTCTACTTTTTAAATATATTTCTTAAGCAATGTTCAACTAATTTAAAATATACATATTTATGAAATTCTCAACTAATTTATTTAATTTTTTCTTTTAGGTGAGTCTCTGGGACATTTAGAAATATATCTACCCAAGAACTTGTAAGTTAAATAACAAAATCTCTATAAATATTAATTACCAACTGATTGATAGTTCCCAAGCCTACACTTTCATTTTGTAAATACAACATTTACCCCTAGCCTTCATAACAAACCATCAATCAAAGTCTTTGGTTAATGTCATATGACGAAACTCGAAATCAATTAAATATTTATTATCAACAAAAAGAATCTTTTCATAAAATCCGGAAATAAATATAAAATTTCCCATTGCAATTTGCTGCCCAAAAACATACATTAAATACATCTGTATACAATCCCAAACTTAATTAAAACATTGAAGTCGGTCTGAGTGGGGGAAAATGTCATTTCATTTCATAATTTCGATTTTTGACATTTGCCAGAGGGCTGCCGATGCAGTTTTTGCGGGCTGTGACTAATTAACACATTTATAGAGTGACAAACATGACGCACAGAGACATGGCCCTCATATTGTACGATCCGTTTGTGTTTTGTAGGGAAAACCCACTCAGCTGACCCCGGGCATTAACATTTGTATCGCATTGTCGCTGGAAGGGAGTTTGTAATTATGCACAAACCGAAAGGGACAACTGTTGACATTTTCAATTGTCCTCGTTTATGGCGACCCCGAAAAATGGTTGCTAATTAAGCAATCAAATAGTTCGGTGGCTTTGGCTAAAGGGAAAGTGGTTTGCTTGGAAAAATAATCTAAAACTGATAACTAACTGATCTTAAGAGGCAAAACAAAATATAGTGAAGCTAGCAATTAATAGAAAATGGAAAAAATATATTTTAAATATTATTAAACATTATTATTATTATTTTTATTTTACTTAAAGACAAAAGTAATCAACCTTTAACCCATCCTCTCCCCTTTAAAGAACAACCTTGTACAAAATTAATGGACAAGACCCAATTTAAGACCATAAAACCCAGAAAAATCGGGAAAAAACTCCCCAAAAACCCCACAAAAAGATGCAGATATCTGTAGTAAAGAGGGAAAAACTGTAAAGTCCCACAGAAAACCGGACAAGAGGTCGGCGGACGGGCGGACAAAAAATACGCCCAGCTAGAGACGTGTGCCGCCAAAGCTTTTATAGCTGGGGCTATAACACAATGCGGCGCGGCCCAGAAAACAAATATAAATCAATCCGGGGGCCAGAGGATCCCCCGCCGGAGAGTTTCCACCATATTACCAGAGACAAAAGACTCCGCGGGATAAGGAAAGTGAGGGAGAGGTAGACACCAGAGATGCCCTGGCTTTTTGTTTATTTATTCATTGATTTTAATACACTGCCGCGGACAGGAGGGAGTGAAAAAGTTCTTGTAAATGGAAATGCATTTTCGATAAACCATTGGAAATTGATTTTTCCCAAACACCTTTTCGGTGTTCCGTTCCGTTTCCCTTGCCCCGAATTTTCCGACTAATTGTGCGTGTGTGTGACGTTGGGTGGCATTTTCTTGTTCCCTTTTTTTTCTGTAGGGAAGCTGCTTTGTTTAGGATTTTCATTGATTTCCAGCTGTTTTTCCCCCGCTGCTTGTTGGAAATTATTTTCCCCCCTTAAAACGGTTTTTCATTGTAATTTTAATATGCATCTTTCTGCGGTTGCCCTGCTGCTGCTGCTGCAGTTGTTGCTGTTCTGGTTTTATGGCTATTTTTATGTTTTAATATTTATGGTTTTTAATGTTCCATATTTAG